CACGCACGCACGCACAGAGGTCCCAGTTGCGTCTAATCGGATTAGGTTAGTGTGGGTTAACAGGGATCTCTCCGCCCTGCATGGGACATCCGCGCACTTTCTTTTACTTTCTGGTGTGGCACCTTTTTTTTTTTTAACATAAATTATTACGTCACTCAGACATCCACGCGCTCCAGAACCCGTAACTTCTTTCCCTTTAAAACACTTTCGTTTTCTTTATTCTGAGGATGGGAACTCTTCTCCGAAGATGACAGCCGGTTAAACTGGATCAGCTTTAATGATGCCAAACCCTTCAGGTTTCTGCAGCACTCTTCGTGTGTTTTGACTGACTTTTTGTGTGCTTTAGTTGTGTTATGCGCACACACCAGCGCGCGCCAGGCGGATCTCCCCCCCGCGCGCGCGGCTGCCCTGGGCTCCGGGTCAGATGGTGCTGATCACGGACGACAGGGATGGAGGAGTCGCCTCGTCGCTCCGCGTCAAGCAGCTGCAGCAGCCGAAGAAAGTCCACCCGACCATAACCGAGGAGCCCCCGTCCTACTACGAGGAGGACTCCCTGCGCTCGTGCGCGGAGGAGGTGGAAGAGGATGGTGACGATGAGGAGGGAAGCGAGGAAGACAGCGACGAGTTCGAGGAGGTCGACTTCGAGGACTTGGAGGACTGTCGGAGCATCGCGTCGGATGACTCCTTCTATCCTCCGGATGACGCGTTCGCGGACTCGGAGCGCAGTCCGTCCCCGGACAGCCCGGAGCCGCTGTCCTTCTTCAGGGCGTGCTGCTCCAACAACGCGGCCGTCGTCCGGATCCTGATCCGGCACGGAGTGAAGGAGGAGGAGGTGAAGGAGACCGACAGGAACAGCAGGGTACGGAGCACAGAACAAGTTCTGGAAAGTTTGTGGCCTCATTGAAAGTTTGTTTTTAGAAATCTCCTTATATTTTAAACCAGTGATCTGAAACCTGCGGCTCTTTGGTCCCATCAAACAAACAAATGAGTCCATTATTTACAATATAAATCAAACAATTTAATATCCTAAACTCACTTAGTGTAGGTTGAAAGAGTTTACTCAGCAGTTTTCCAAATATTAACATGTGATTCTGAAATGCAGGTCCACACTCAACATAAACAAAACACTCATAATCCACTGATCCACATGGAAGTCACGTGGTTGAYCTATATTAGGCTGGGAGAAGTCTTTTTGGCAGACTGGGTGTAGCAGACACTGGGTGGAAATCTTAAACTGAATCCACTGTGAAACATGAAGAGGAAAAACAGTCAAAAATAAATATAGATCAAGCAGTGCAGCTCCATAAAGACAATATTGATACACATGGGTTTTGCAAAACTTTTCCTAGACCGGTAAGCTACAGTTTCAGCCTGTCATCTTTTTATTTTCATGCTTCACTCAGCAAATTTGAGCATAGATCTGCACCAACAGAACATCCCAAACAGCTATTCCATGGACGTCACCTTTGTTGACATGTTTTCAGTCACCTTGGGTATTCCGTAATTGAACAAATGCAAATGGCATCTAGATCTGGTCACAAATTTTACTTGCAAATGCTTAATTTAAAGGGGGAGTATGATGCAAAAATCAACTTTTGTGAGCTTTATATCAGGTTATAACATCATTCCGTCATCAAAACCATACCCACAGTGTTTGTTGCCACGCAGAGCTGCCTGAACACTTAAGCCCCGCCTATTTACACAAAGCTCCTCCCACCCCACAGAGCACCCCTCCCCGAAGCATTGTTATAAAGACTACCGAAGTGGGAGTGTYGGAAACGGTAGGAGATGCCAAGTCAAATTTATTTTTGATATATAAACTTTTTCATAATAACTGAAGTTAATTATGTGCAGTATGGAACTGAACGATGTGCCTGGAAAATATATAAAACCCCCTCCCCCGTTACAGACACAATAACTTATAAAAGAAAGATATTGTGTTGCTTCTATTACTTAATGGTTTTATTTATTTATTTATTTATTGCGATGAGTACCTTTAAATTTATAACTATAACAGCAAAAAAAGATATTAACTATACTTTGGGTAAAGGAGCAGAAATGTCTCTTCTGAATTGATTGAATGRAAAGTTTCAGACTCCTGATAGAAGTTTATAAGAGCTCTAAACTTGTATTTGTGACTCGTCTTTGTCAATAACCTGACCTTGCAGTTCGACTTGTAATAAGAAACATCAGATTAAGAAGGTGTTGGGATAATTAAGCTTTCTGTTTAAGCTCTTTACACCGGTTTGCTTATTTATTTCCTCGCTTTAAAGAATGAAATGACCTCTGCTGTATGAAATATGTGGAACGCACACGAATTACTTCGGACTCAGTATAAAAAGGAAGGTTTATAATAAACACACGGGGTTGGCCGGTGGTAATGGAAATGCCACGTTTAGTTATTTAAATGTATTTAAAACAGGGGAAGTACATGCTAAAAACAGTGCAGTTATTGTTTTGCACACACGGGCCTTTTTGTCAACAGCTAATTTGCAGATCGTCTGTGATCGTGAGAGAGAACATTTTGGTGCCACACAGAGAAGGAATAATTCTTAAACCACTGAGTCTCCCATCATGCAAGTCTGCAGTCTGGTGTACACTCTTATTTGGCAGAGAACATCCTGCAGGTCTTAGCTAAATCTGAAATGTACAAGCAAAAAAGCAGAGTTGCAATTTATACAGTATATTAGACTATATTTGAACAAAGGATTATCTCAGGAGTGTTCAACTATCAGGACATATATGCTAATGCTGCATATAATCTTGTCTGGGACAGTGCGTTGTAATGTAGTCAGTTGGTTAAGCTAACATAAAAACTGCTGCTTCGTATAAAGTCTGATTGTTAAAACCTTCTCTGACWAGACAACCCAACCCCGTGTGACTTACTTAAAGATCAGCTGACCAACATGCAAATCGACCAACTGGAAGAGAAACTGAGGCAGATAGAGGCAGATATCTGGGACTGCAGATGGCAGGAAGCACAGTGCTTCCAGCAAATACAGATGAGTGGAAAAATCAAAGCGACAGTCGTACAGATCTGATTTGATACAGCCGCATTAAAGCGAAGCTGCGGACAGAAGGACATGTAACAGGGCAGGTATTGACAGAAACCAGTGCATCTGTGTCAGTGGTGCTGCTGAGGTATTCTGTGGGATTCAGGGCCATCTCCAGTATGTTTGCCTGCGTGTTTGTGTGCTTGTTTCTGAATAGAAGTGCAGTATTTTACTTTTTGGCTAATGTAGTTTGTAAAAAAATGCATTTTGTCTGCTAGGACTTAACTTGGACTGCTGACCAGTAAATAATAATAATAAAAAAAACATATACAATACATATGATTGGTTATTTTGGACAGTCAACAGGGTCCTAGTCCCAAAATCAAACTATTTATTTGAAACATTCTGAGTTAAGATTGGTTCTTAAAGAGGTTTCATCCTCTTTGGAACTGGTTTAGCTATCCCACATGAAATGTATGCAAGCTGTTGCCTCCCCCCATCCCTCACCCCTCACCTCCCACCCCTCCCGGTGTTAGACTTAAGCCTTTCTATTCATAGCTCTTGATATTCCCCAGATTACTTCGTGTACAGTGCGTTTGTGACTCTGTGTCTCCATAGGCTAATAATTTGTCAGACATTTTTTACAGCACGTTGTCGTGTCCTGCAACC